ATTGTATGTATGCATGTTAGTAATTTTGCCTTAAATTAGCTCTCCATGAATGAGATTAATTAGATGGATTGTTACGATGTGTTGGGTGAATTATCTGAGTGTTGCTTGTATGCCTTAAGCTTCCGTTGTACGTATGCACGCGTTTAATTTATGTTAGAATTGTGTATGTCAGGTTTCGGGTGCTCGATGGACGAATTTGCCCCATTGAACACGAACCTCGTGCTCTGGGTGCTTGATGGAGGTCATCGCCCCGTTGAGCCGGTATGCCTAGTTTGCATGAATTACATACTATGATGTTAGAAGAAATTGCACGCACCCTCTGTTAATTGCTAGGGCCCATTTCTATGATAAGATTAGGGAATTTCTTTTAGGAGCGATATGCCGCTCTAGACAGACTTAATTTTCCCCTAGAAACTTAGCGGTTTACCACGGTAAGAAAGTACCTAAGGGGGTTCATGGATTGCTAGCGTGAGAACGGTATCTATAGCTTCGTGGGAGGACCAAGGGTCCCTGATCAGTCCTTACTGTTCTTAGCCATTTCGCATGGGAAATGTGTCCCCACGTCGTACAGCCCATTAGCTGCATGGGAACGGGTTGGGTCGCGCCCCCCATAGGAGGACTATATGGGCGTAGGGGTATTCAGCACACCCCTAGGCTAGGTACCATGTAGTTCCAGATAGCCATGTAGAGATAGTGCCTCATAGAGAGATACCGACCATATTAGCTTGGCATAAGGAACCTCTAGGTGACTAATGAAAGGACGATGAACCGGTGAAACCCAAGGGGCAAGCCCCAAGAGACTAAGGTTAGAACCCGATGTCCTAGAACCGAATTAGGAAACCGTGGGAGTTCTGCTAAATTAAGATGCGAAAAGAGCCTACAAGTAGGTGGCTTACTGAGTATAATTTTTATACTCATCCTTGCTATGTTTTCTTTTTTTTCAGGGGCGCGAGGCGTCGGTCAAGAGTGGGCGTGATCTGAAGGGAATTGTCACAGAGGAATGGGTTGTCCCGGGGCGTCAGTCCAGTCTTAGTCATCATTTTTGTATTCGCATTCTTTTTAAATTTATTTTCCAAACGGTCTTGTGTTCTGTGTTTATCGTTCGAAAAACTTTATTGAAATTTGATGATTTTCGCTACTTCATATTTAAATCTCTTGTGCATCTGTGTCGTGTCGTTAGTCACTGTCCGTAGTAAAATATTGGGCTGTGACATTGTCATTTAGAACGGCTGTCTTAACATCCATTTGCCAAATTTCATAATCACAAAATGTGGCAATGGACAAGAGTATTCTAATCGATTTAAGCATAGCAACAGGAGAGAAGGTTTCTTCATAGTCTACCCCCTCTCTTTAGGTATAACTCTTTGCTACAAGTCGAGCTTTAAAGGTCTGTACCTTTCCGATTTAGTCTCCTTTCCTCTTATAGATCCATTTACAACCAATAGGTTTTACCCCATCTGGTTGATCTACAAGTTCCCAGACTGAATTGAAGTACATTGACTCCATTTCAAGATTCATGGCTTTGATCCACTGATCTCTATCTTCATCATTTATTGCCTATTTATAGATCAATGGATCCTCAACGCCATCATCAGGTATGATGACTTGAGTTTCTGCCAAATCCAAGTAACGATTGAGTTGAGTTATAACCCTTCCATTACGTTGAGGCATTCTCAACTCTTGAGAAGGATGTGATTGACCAGAAGTGCCAACTCCATCAACAATTCTTGTTGAAGGACCAGCTTGATCAACAACTCTTGTTGTTTTATCAGTAGCTTCTTTAGAAATCTCACTTAATACTAGTTTGCTGCAAGGTTGATGATTTGTTTCCTGGTCTTCCTCTAAGAATGCAGCGTTTGTTGATACAAACACTATTTTCTTAATGGTCATAAAACAAACTACCTTTCGTCTCTTTGGGGTATCCTACGAATATACATAATTTTGAACGACGTTCTAATTTCTTAGAGTTTTGCAACAACACATGTGTTGGGCATCCCCAAATCCTGAAGTGACGTAAACTACCTTTACGCCTTTTCCATAACTCATAAGGTGTTTCTGAAACACTCTTGGAATGAACCATGTTCAAAATGTATGTAGCAGTCTCCACTACATATCCCCAAAACAGATCAGGTAATTGAGCGAAACTCATCATAGACCGAACCATGTCTAACAGAGTTCTATTTCTCCTTTCTGATACACCATTCTGTTGAGGCATACTAGGGGCTGAGAGTTGAGACGTTATTCCATGTTCTATCATATAGTCCTAAAATCTTAAGTCCATATACTCTCCACCTCGATCTGATCGAAGTGTTTTAATAGTTTTACCTTATAGATTCTCAACCTCAGTCTTATACTCTCTGAATTTTTCAAGAGCTTCGGACTTGTGATGCATTAGGTAAAGATAGCCATACCTTAAATAATCATAAATAAAACTTATGAAATATTCATACCCTCCTCGTGCTGTGACATTCATTGGACCACAGAGATCTGTATGCATGAGTTCTAAGGTTTCTTTGGCTCTATAACCTTTTTCAGAAAACGATTGTTTAGTCATTTTACCATCAAGACAAGACTCACATGGAGGTAAATAGTTGTTTTCTAACTCATTTAGAAGTCCTCTTTTAACCAATCTCTCAATTCTATTGAGATTAATGTGGCCTAGTCTTAAGTGCCAAAGATAGGTATTAGGAGAAATCTTTTGTCGTTTATTTTGAGTTTCAGCTGTTTTAAACATCTCGGTATTTAAAATATCTTTTGTTTCGCTCGGTTTTAACATATATAAGTTGTTTTCTAGTTTTGTAGAACAAATATGAATACCTCTTTTGCAAATGAACACTTCATTGATTTCAAAAGATACTTTATACAATTGTTCAAATAAACAATAGATAGATATTAGATTTCTTTTCATTCCAGAAACAAAAAGTACATTATCTAATATAATGAATCTATCTCCAAAAAACAATTTTAAATTTCCTATTGATCTTGCTGAGACAACCTCTCCTGTTCCAACCCTGAGTGTTATCTGGCCGTCATCAAGCATTCTCTAGGAGCTAGTTTCCTGGAAAAAAGAACAAATATGATTAGTGGCCCCTGAATCTAGTATCCAAGTTGTGTTATCATACTCTACTAAACATATTTCTACAACGAGTAAATCATATTTACCTTGTTGTATCTTTTCGGCTTTTTTCTCTGCAAAGTATTTTAGGCAGTTTCTCTTCTAGTGCCCGTTTTCGTTGCAGTGGAAATATTTTCCTTTATCTGCTTTTTGAACCTTGTGTTTGCGGTTAGTAGGAATCTTATTTTTCCCCTTACCCTTCTTCTTTATCAAAACACTTTTAGAAGTTGAAGGTCCGGACTTATTTTTGGAGGACGATCCTCGTAGTAATTTCTTAGAGATAGCAACATTTGCTTCTCGTCTTTGTCCCTTGTTCGTTAAGAGGGACTGATAAGTCTATAGCTCATTGAGAAGAGCAGTCAAGTTATATCTATCTTGTTCATCATCACATTTGTGCGGAATTGGAAGAAGCTCTTCGGAAGAGACTCCATGATATAAACTGACTTGACTCTTCTCATCAATGACATTTCCATTTTCTTCTACCACATTGAAATGGACCATGATGTCCAGGACATGTTCTCTAACTGAAGTCCCTTCTTTCATACGGCAGTTGTAAATGTATTTTATGGCGTCATGTCTACGGGAGAAGGACGGTTGTCCAAACATCCATTTCAGAGATTCCCTAATCTCTTTAGTAGTACCCATCACATCGTGTTTCTAAGCCAAAACATCAGATAGGCTGGCTAAAATGTACACTCGGGCTTTGTCATTTGCCTTTGTCCATCTGTCATATGCATCCCGAACTGTTCTGTTTGCATTTGAGCTGGGGTTTGGAGGACATTCCTCAGTTAAAACAAACCTTAAATCATCAATTACAAGTATTGTGTTTAGGTTTGATTTCCAAGTTGCGTAATTGTCGCCGTTTAATTTCTCAGAAGCGAGTAATTGTACTACTGAGTTTGTCATGTTGTGATATAAAGAAAATTCTATTAGTGATTTGATTTAATCTTGTTTAATCCAATCAGGTTTAACAAATGAAATAATGTACCAAAAAATTATTAATTTGCAACAATACTTTAATGAGTTAGAGCAACTGCTACCGAGGGGCAGTCAATCACTCCTTCACTAAACCAAGACATTCTTGACTTAAGCACCAATCCCAGAATAACTCTTGTTCCTATAGTGTTTTAGTTATCGCTGTTTTGGTCAAGAATATACTAACTCTTAGTAATTCTTCGTAAATGTGACCCATCAATTTCAGACCTTAGAGATCGGTCCCAAAAACGCTATCAAATAAAAAAGCCAAAGTTGGGAATGGACCTAAGAAATCCTATCCATTTCTTGAGTTTGCGTTGTTTTGAATCCCATGTTACGACCCTTCAAATGGGTAGTTGCTCTAGGGTAACATGCAGGCGAAACATGGGAATCTCATGGTGCAACCTAGTGCTGGAGACCATAGGACGTGTTGATATACTTCCTTCTCCCACTTACTATAAATACTTTCTCTATTCACCTCGTTATTGACTCATGCAAATACCTTCCGAATGGAGGACGCTCCCAGGGCGACACGAGGCCAAGCATGAATCTCACGATGTGAATTTTGTCAGAGAGCGTGAAAGGAAAATGATGTATCTCATATACCTTTTTCCTCACACTAAGTATTTTTTACGGTTGGGTATACTCATTACTTAGGTATATTCCGGCTAATTAAATATAACTTAAGTCTAGGTGATTTTTCTAAAACTTATATCACTCAAACATGCTCATAAAACTGGGCTAACTAAGCTCAAGTACTGGTCTGATCTTCAGGTAGTAGGTGTTCCGTAAACCGTCAACTTAAGTACCTCCAGCCTTAGACAAGATCGTGTCAGGTGAGCTTTCTTGTAACCGCGATTTTATAATACATCGACCTATTTTAACTATTAAAATTGATCGTGCTTGGTTCTTTACCCTAAGTGAGCATGCACTTATCTTTATTATAGATTTTAACGTCTATCTCGTTTTATGACGTTGAAAATAACCTATAACATGCATCTAACATGCTTTATATAACAATTATATAATCATCAATTCCATGCAATAATATAACAATTATATCTATCACTCATGGAACCCTCAACATGCATGCTATACATTATAACACTTATAACATACTTGGAATGCATGAAACATGCTTAGCCTATGGTGGGATTTTAAATCTATATGACATACTTTATGCATATACATTTTCTATTTAATTAAAACATACATTCATAATGCATAATTAATTAAACACACTAAAGTGGATTGGTTATGACATTTTAAAGTAAGCAATTAAATAAATTATTAATTTAATGATTAAAAATAACTTGAACCGCTCCCGAGGATCACGAACTGGGCGAACCAACCCCTAAAAACGTTGAACCGTACCCCAACGGCAGAAAAAAGACCCAAACTACCTCTTCCATCTTCTTCTTTGGTTCAGCTTGCTTTCTCTTCATTTTCGATCAATTACAACCTGAAATGGACTCTAATGACTCCATAAAAATTACAGACCTTTCTTCACTCATTAAAGCCCATACACATTAGGCCAATTACAATAATTGTATCGAAGCATAAAAAAAATCTCAAAACCAAAAACATCCACTTTAGCAACCACAAAATTTCATTCATGAAATGGTACCCACCATGCTCAAATTAATGTAAATAAAGTGCTTAAAACTTGCTCTGATACCAATTGATGGAGTTTATATAACACATGTAGAAGCAATTTGGATCTTAGGCACTCTTGGAACATCAATTATTGTAAATAACTAGCATGATCATAAGTATTTAAACTCAAGGTCTTTAAGTACTAACCTTTTGTAGTTCAAATTCCTTTTTCCTCACGAACCGGTTTTGAACCACCACTAGTGTCTTTTTTTAATTCTTGGCAGAGTTGGATGCATGGTACTTTTCAACACACGACCCACGTATGCATACATGGACTCATCAGAAGGATTGGTGTACGTACCCCTTAGGCCGAACTTTGTCGGGCACAACACAATACATGTCACTGGACCCTCATAAAAAAAAAGGTCTTCATGATAACATGTCGAACATAAATATTGAAGGTATGCATCCATACTAGCATAACATAACGGAGAAGTATCCCGATACACATGACATACATACATGCACGAGGTCCCATGATTTTTATTCATAAGATAACATTTATTTCATTTCTTTTCTCCTTCCCTCCATAACATATTTCATGTATGTATCACGCATACATGGATAAACATCACATAATCCATCACATAACTTTACATGGAAAGATGTAACATTTCATACCTATCATACCATAACATATACCATCACAATATATCATATCATAAACATGTCAATTATCACATGTCTCGTACCTAGGTTGAGCGATCAAATACCTAGGTTGAGGCAAGTCCTCATAAAATTCTAATAAGACAATACGGTGATTTCTAGTATGAACATCTTGGAAAAGAGGTTGGTTGGTTTCTTCCTCAGGGCCACAGAGTCACCTATATTTGTGGGATGTGATCCTTCTCCATTAGCAACCTACTAGGCTATCTCATGTTATCCCACGCTCCCTTTTTAAGAAACAGGTTAACAACATAGTGGTCATATTCAAGAGGCCACTAGCTCTTCAGCGGAATAGAAGCTCAACTATCCTAACTAGCATGTGCATAGCTATATAGTACTAATATTGTAGTGGAAGGGGATTGGAGGGTCTAAAGATAGCGTAGCATTCACGCATCTCATAGCCTAGATAGTTACCTTGGTTATTCTTTGGAGTCGTGGAGATCTACTATTTTATTAGGGGCCTCTAATCACATCTTTAGGTAAACACAGGTCTATATTTTTTATCACCGCTCACTATCCTAGGGTATTTTGATACTGCAACCCTAATTCTCAATCCAACGAATAATGCTTTTGTTGAAGCAAGAACACTTGAATCAAAGTAATTAACACCTCCTTATACAAAATTCGGATCAACCAAGACATAAGGTTAGAATTAGATTACCTCTTACAATCGAAGATCTAGAAGCAAGATTTGGAAACCTTGTTCTAAATCGAGTCAGTCCACAATCAAATTTAATCAAAGCTTGATTGAATGGCTCAAATCCAATTCTACCACAAGAATTGTTTGAAACTTAGAAATGACAAAGATGATGTTCTGATTTCTAAGGAAACGTCTAAATTTGTGATTTCAATTTCATTCATCCACGAATTTGATTTTTACATAACAATTTCTTGGTATTTATACTCCCAACAAATGACGTTTGTGGTCATGATTTAATCCCGATTCCCTTAAATCTCCACGAAAGACGAAGTCAATTTTACCATTTGACAATTCCAAACATTATGAAACTAAAAATAATAAAGTTTTTCACCCAACTTTGATATGTGTAAGTGGTTAAGGAGACAGACATTTTTTATTCTTATCATATTTAGTCCACTAGAAATCTATTGACCTTATCAAGATTCTGCACACGCTATCGCGTCCTAATCTTATCAAGATTCTCTAGTGCTTGTGAAGCACAAGTCGCTCTTACCAATTCTAATTTCCTACGCAATGGAAAGCATAAAAAGCGACATTCATAAGAAATTTTATCATAGGGGCATTTTGGTAATTTCTTCCATCATGCATAACATACTCATCCATATTGCTTAATTTGTATTTTAATCATGCATATAGTACATAAAAGACATACATACAATACATACTCATAAAAAATAAAAATAAAAAAATAAAAAAAATTTATGATGTCCTTAACATGTATTTTTTACCACCTAAGTTAAGGAATGCTCGAATGCTATTAGGTCCTAGCGATATCTACAAGTATTACTTTCCTAAAGTCTATGTAGTTACTTACTTGAATGATGTTTACCTTCTTGAGCCAGCTATTTCACGTGTTTGGAGCTCAAGAATTTATAGGATTTCTCTCGTAGATCCTAATTCAAGCATAATTATGTTAATATCAAAGTCAAGACAAAAAACTGACAAACGGAGGTCGAACGAACAAAATGAGACTAACATGTGCTTACACACATCGGGAAAGGCTTTTCACGTGTGGAGGTTTTTTTATAGATCTCGGTTACTCATTGAGTCATTGGATCGGGTTCAGATAGCATTTTTTGTTAGGATCAAAGGTTAACGAGTTGCACACGCAAGCTTTTGATCGAATCCAGGCTCAGGGATCGGGTTAACCTACATGCATGTCACAATTAGTATCTGAACGATTCTCTCCGCTCAGTATTTGCCACTTGTCCTACTCAGCTTCAGACTCACTACTGCCAACGTCGTCTAACGTGTGCCTTCTCCCTTTTTGCCAACATTCAATATTTTAGATATACGATGAGGTTTCTATTACCTATCTAATTTCTTCTAAATTTTGTAACTTCTTACGGGTACACATAGCTATTTTCTCTTAAGTTTATTTTAGCCACAAAAATAAATAATAAAGTGCAAAGTCGGTCAAGAATTTAAAACTTAAGAAATTTACCATTTCTTTAAATTCAATGAAATAAATTTATCATTTCTTTAAATTCAATCAAATACTGCCTTTAGATCTTAATGAACTCTAGCTTCCTATATGAATCTTGGGTGAAATTCC